TGGTACACTACATGACAGTACATACCCACCATGGTACACTATGACGGTACATACCACCACGAGGCACTACATGACAGTACATACCCACCATGAGGCACTACATGACATTACATACCCACCATGGTACACTACATACATTACAGTACATACCACCATGGTACACTACATGACAGTACACTACCCACCACGAGGCACTACATGATGGTACATACCCACCATAGGACACTACATGACGGTACATACCCACCATGGGACACTACATGATGGTACATACCCACCATGGTACCTACATGACGGTACATACCCACCATGGGACACTACATGACAGTACCATACCCACCATAGGACACTACATGACGGTACATACCACCATGGGACACTACATGACATATATACCCTCCATGGGACACTACATGACGGTACATACCCACCATGGTACACTACATGATGGTACATACCCACCATGGGACACTACATGACAGTACATACCCACCATGGGACACTACATGACGGTACATACCCACCATGGTACACTACATGACGGTACATATACACACCATGGTACACTACATGACGGTACATACCCACCATATGGTACACTACATGACAGTACATACCACCATGGTACACTACATGACGGTACATACCCATCATAGTACACTACATTACGGTACATACCCACCACGAGGCACTACATGACGGTACATACCCACCATGAGGAGCACTACATGACGGTACATACCCACCACGAGACACTACATGACGGTATACCCACCATGGTACACTATGACAGTACACCCACCATGGTACACTACATGACAGTACATACACACCATGGTACACTACATGACGGTACATACCCATCATAGTACACTACATGACGGTACATACCCACCACGAGGCACTACATGACGGTACATACCACCATGAGGCACTACATGACGGTACATACACACCATGGTACACTACATGACGGTACATACCCATCATAGTACACTACATTACGGTACATACCCACCACGAGGCACTACATGACGGTACCCCACCACAGGCACTACATGACGGTACATACCCACCATGGTACACTACATGACGGTACATACCCACCATGGGACACATGACGGTACATACCCACCATGAGGCACTATACGACGGTACATACCCACCATGGTACACTACATGACGGTACATAACCACCATGGTACACTACATGACGGTACATAACCACCATGAGGCACTACATGACGGTATATACCCACCATGGTACACTACATGACGGTACATAACCACCATGGTACACTACATGACGGTACATACCCACCATGGTACACTACATGACGGTACATACCCACCATGGTACACTACATGACGGTACATAACCACCACGAGGCACTACATGACGGTACATACCCACCACGAGGCACTACATCACGGTACATACCCACCATGGTACACTACATGACGGTACATAACCACCACGAGGCACTACATGACGGTACATACCCACCACGAGGCACTACATGACGGTACATGCCCAGGGTGGTGACCTGCTACCGCCACACAGTAACTGGGAGCAGCTAACCTACCGTCACCAGGTGGAGGGAGTGGCGCCCTTCACCACCACATGTCCTTAACATACACTCACCACGTGCCCTTAATATAGAGCCAACACGACCACCGACAGTATGCTGGGGTGGACCAGGGCTTGGGGCCGGCGTGGATGGCTGGGGGCGCCTTGAGACAAAGGGTGGGAGGGCAGGAGGCCACCGGAAGCTGGGTGTCGGTGGGGGATCAGGTTACCCAGGGCACGGGAGGGGAAGCGTCCGAGGGGACATGTTACCCTTCCACCACCCCAGGCCGGGAAGGGGCAGCGCGGCGTGGCGTCGGTGTGATCGCCGGCAGGAGTGAGGAGCGCACCTGCACCACGTCTATCAGTGATTGGCTGGAGGTAGGAAGGTGGGGATGTGGGGATTGGTGGTGGACGGCGGGTGTTCCGGACGGGCGCGCATGGCCAGCCACGGGCGGGGCCCCGGGGGCCTCCCGACCCCGCCACCGTGACGGCCCGCCACCTGTCGTCGTCACGCTCACGTCTACCACGCCCGCACGCGCCCACAACGCCCGCACACATACACCTCTCGCCCAACACACTTCAGTAAGTCACCCACACCATACACCACTCATCCCCCCTCCAACCTCTCCCTCCCTCTCACACCACTCGGCTCAACCTCGCTCCCTCACACTTGAGGAAGTCACTCACACCACCACCCACCTCCCTCTGCCACTAACACCAGGAAGACGTCTGGTAGGTGGTGTGGTACTGAAATTAGTGAATAAATCAGTCAGTCCTGGTAATTGAAGTATTGTAGGTATGGTACTGCGCTGGGGGGGGGAGGGTGGGGGGAGGAACCACCATATTGAGCAGAAGCAACTCTCTCTCTCTCTCTCTCTCTGTGTCCCCCCCCCCCACCTGACTGACCCTGGTAGCGATCGATTTGAACCTCCGGAACATAATGGTCGGACGGACGAGACACATGCACCACCCACACACATCTCTCTCCCTACCAGTCTACCACCATCACCGACACTACCACCATCACTACCACTACCACCATCATCATCACTCGTATCCTAAACATAGCTTATCGTGAACTCTTTCTTGTGTCGCCCTTACGTAAAATATTAGTCAACGGGGGCGAGGCAATTTAGATCAACACAGAGCAATGATGCATTCAGGAGGAGGGAGAGAAGGAAGGGGAAGTGGTGGAGGAGGGAGAGGAGGAAGGGGAAGTGGTGGAGGAGGGAGAGGAGGAAGGGGAAGTGGTGGAAGAGGAAGAGGAGGGAGAGGAGGTGGTGGAAGAGGAGGAAGAGGAAAGACACAGGTAAATAACTCCAGCATTATAACGTGTAGTATTGAAGTGAGAGGAAGGGGTGGTGTTGTGTTATGGTGCTCTCAAAGACACCACACCATCACCACCATCAGGAGCCGAGTGGTGTGAGTGGATGGATTGGGGTAGGTGAGCAGGTAGGTGGATAGGAGTGTGTGGGTAGGTGGATAGGTGGTGGGGCGGTGGGGGGGGGTTAAGCCCAGCCGCCGCCTCTGACACCTAGCGGCAGTGTTGATTTCATGATGGATACGCTCCCCCCGCCCGCCCACCCACCCACCCACCCGGTGCTAGGAATCAATAATTGGTGACCGTAGATGGGTAAGCGGTGGGTTATGCAGCACCAGACCCCACCCACCCCCACCCCACCCACCCCCACCTCACCAACACCACCCAAATCCCACCCATCTCACCAACACCGCTAAATCCCACCCACCTCCACCAACACCGCCCACCCTGCCTCAATCCACTCATTGTATATACTCCTAGTAAGTCCTCGTCATCCACCTGTTAATATACTGTACTGGGTCCACAGAGAGAGAGAGAGTTAAGGCTCCACTCTAATGCCTCGGTAAAAACTAACGATATATAAGTATAGAGGCAAACAACAACAATAAGCAAGAGCCTCAAACAAACAAATATGATAAACACACAAAAGCAAACAACATAACCAAACACAAAAACAAACAAACAAATATGATAAACACACAAAAGCAAACAAACAGACAACTTATACTACACATTAATTCCTGTAATATAATCATGTGGATATATTACACAAATAGAGTCAAAGTGTGTGTGTGTGTGTGTGTGTGTGTGTGTGTGTGTGTGTGTACTGACGGCCGCTTGATTGATGGTTGTATCGCCTGGCTGCCACCAATAATATACAGTACACACACACACACACACGTACGTCTTTAACCACATGAGTACAGTGACAACCCCTCGAGTACGATGGATTAGGGTAGCCTCTGGTTAGGTTAGGTTAGGGTCTGGTTGGGTTGGGTTAGGTTAGGGTCTGGTTGGGTTAGGTTAGGGTAGCCTCTGGTTGGGTTAGGTTAGCCTTTGGTTTGGTTGGGTTGGGTTGGGTTAGGTTAGGTTAGGTTAGGCTCTGGTCTGGTTGGGTTAGGTTAGGCTCTGGTTGGGTTAGGTTAGGGTAGCCTCTGATTGGGTTAGGTTAGCCTTTGGTTTGGTTGGGTTAGGTTAGGCTCTGGTCTGGTTGGGTTAGGGTAGCCTCTGGTTGGGTTAGGTTAGGGTCTGGTTGGGTTGGGTTAGGGTCTGGTTGGGTTGGTTTGGGTTAGGGAGGTAGCCTCTGGTTGGGTTGGGTTAGGTTAGGAGTCTCTGGTTGGGTTGGGTTAGGTTAGCCTCTGGTTGGGTTGGGTTAGATTCAAGGGTCTAATTTGGGTTAAGGCCAACCTCTGGTTTGGTTAGGTTAGGTTGGCCTCTCTGGATTGGAATTGGGGATTAGGAGTAGCCTCTGGTTGGGTTAAGTTAGGCTCTGGTTGGGTTAGGTTAGGCTCTGGTCTGGTTGGGTTAGGTTAGGGTAGCCTCTGGTCTGGTTAGGTTAGGTTAGGTTAGGCTCTGGTCTGGTTAGGTTAGGTTAGGCTCTGGTCTGGTTGGGTTGGGTTAGGTTAGTTTGGGGACTACCTGACCAGGAAAAGCCAGGTGAGTAACGCCCTAGTGTGACATTATAATGGGGACGGCTCACACCCTCCCACCTCCGCTACACACTTCCGCACGAGAGAGAGAGAGAGAGAGAGAGAGAGAGAGAGCATTGTCTCTCTTTGCTTCCCTTCCTCCCCCTCTCTCAGAACGTTCAATAAACATCAAACTGATAAATTAGGTTGGTCTATTAGTCTCCCTTCAAGATGGAGGAGACTTAACCCACCGAGGGAGGTATCATGTTCTCCCTTAAGAGGTGGATCATAGACGACATCTTCAAACTCCCTTTCACGGCGGGCGGGGGGCACTGCCTTAATCATTGTCACCTGTAGCATCACTCACCTGGCGGGGCGGGGAGTAAGATGAACGGACCCGCGTTGTGTACTCACCCACTCAATCATTTATATGGATAACTATGAAACACACAATACACTCACACTAGTTGGGTGGTTCACATTACTGACCTGTAAACCTGGCTAAAGTGACGACTAGGAGGAGGAGTATGGTGAGTATGGAGGGGTGTGAGGGCGTGCCAGTCCTCCACTTGGGAGAGGGTGTGGGCGCACTACTGGTGCTGGAGGGTGGCGTGGGCGGCGGACAGCACAAGTGGTGGGTGGCGGGGGCGGGTGGCAGGCCCGCACTGCCCCCACTGTCCATATTCTTACAGTGCTCACACTGCCCACTCTGGCACCTGCCCCGCCGCCGCCACCTGGGCCCGGGACCCCGCCACCTACACGTCTCCTCCTGCTGCTGCTCCCCCGCCGGGTATTGACTCCTGCACGGTCCCTCACAACACGTTGAGTGCAGCTGCTGGTGTGGCCCTTGTCTCTCGCCCTCGGCTCCGTCCACGCTGCATCGTCGCCAACAACCTGAAAATTGTGAAGAACAAAAATTCAGTTACAAGGAGGACGGTGTGGGGGGAGAGCGCCACCAGTGATGGTGACGGGGCGTGGTCCTCCTACGGCAGGCGGCAGATGCTGTTGCTGCTGGCGGCACTGCACTTGCAGCAGCCTTGTGCAACCCCGCCTGGCTGAGGCGCCGCTCCAAAATAGCGGGTGCCTGGCTCGTGCCTGGCTGACGTCACACTCACACGCCCTCTGCTGCCGCGCCGCCAGTAAACACACCTCGCCCCCACCCACTACGCCTAGGACCTTATCACCCCGGGCAGGAGGGAGAGTGTCCTGGGCGGATGTGGTAGGTCAAGAGGCAGGAAGGAGGCCCACAAGAACCAGACGGCGTGGCTCCCCTCACCTGGTTATCTCCACCACCATACTCTCACAGCCTCCACACCTGGCTCCCTCCAGCTGTCCTGGCGTAGCTCACCTGGTGGGTCTACTGCCGCTGACAGGTGAGCTCCGTGTTGGTAGTCCACCCCTACACACAAACAACCCATGACCCCCTCGGTGTACATGTTGACCATAAAGGCTTAATCTAACCTGACGTAACCAAGACACTGATCCCCCCAGTCCTATACACAACAGGACCACACTCACTACAGCAGAGTCTGGTTTCCTTCCCCTCACGACACTGACCTAACACACTGCTGATACTCGTGTTAGGTCAAGGTACAGCACAGGTCAAACTGGCCCTGGTTAGGTTAGGTTAAGCTAGATTAGATTTGGTTACGTTTGAGTTACGATAAATTAGGTTAAAACGGGGAAGATTAGATTAATTAGATTAGACTAGATGAAACTAGATTAAGCTTCATTAAGTTACATTGGTTTACACTAATTTGACTTAGTAAGGTTATTAGATTAGGTTAAGGGACTATTAGGAATGGGGGTTAGGTTAGGTTAGGTTAAGGGCCTATTAGGAATGGGGGTTATTAACAGTGGAGTCCAATAGTAGTAAGGCCTAGTAGAACTGGGGCCTATAAGCACGGTGAACAGTACAATTTCAATTTGACGCATATGAAGTCTGGGCCCATTGAACCAGAGGCCTATCAGAAGGGGCCCATTGAACCAGAGGCCTATTAGAAGGGGCCCATTGAACCAGAGGCCTATTAGAAGGGGCCCATTGAACCAGTGGGCGTGGGTGGGGTGCAGAGAAAGAGATGGGTGGGTAACACAAGGTCTCCTCAGGTGCAACTGCAACACACACACACACACACACACCGTTGTAAGAGTTCGCTACACCCAGCCAATGACTAGTGTATCTACGTGCAGCGAGACAGTGTATGATAGGTTTACAAGGTGTCTACAATACGCCCTCTCCCTCCCTCTTATTCTCTCTCTTCTCCCTCCTCCCCCCCCTCTGGTGTGTGTGTGTGTGTGTGTGTGTGTGTGTAACAGGGTGGTCAAAAAAAACCCACAAAAATAGTCCAATCTTAGGTACCCATTTACAGCTGGGATCGAACTAACGACTCCCTGGAACAAGAGGCGAGAGTACTGTATCCACTTGACCACCACACACTCGACAGGACGGTAATGAAAAAAAAAATACTTAACACAAGTACATGATGGTAGGGTACATTATGTGACCTCGCTCGGGTCATGATGCTGTTGTGGAAAGGGTGTGACTTTGACCTCTGGTACGCCCCCACCACGGAGAATGTTGGGTGTGGTTGAGAATGGGCGCGGGTGGGCGTGGTGGGTGGGTGGCGGCACATTACCCACAAGGACACATCCTTTACAGAACTCTCAACCACTACCCACCACCCACCTCCTCCCGCCACCACCACCCTCCCACCATCACCACCACCGTCCTCCCACAATCACCTCCACTCCACCACCGTCCTCCCACAATCACCTCCACTCCACCACTCTCCCACAACCACCACCGTCCTCCACAATCCCACCACCCACTCCACCATCATCCTCCCACAATCACCCACCCTCCACCACCGTCCTCCCACAATCACCACCACTCCACCACCGTCCTCCCACAATCACCACCACTCCACCACCGTCCTCCCACAATCACCACCACTCCACCACCGTCCTCCCACAATCACCACCACTCCACCACCGTCCTCCCACAATCACCACCAACCACACTCACCTTCCAGGTACGTATACACAAGAGCCAATTACTGACTGATACACCTGGAAACATCTTACCTGTATCAACACAAACCTTTTGCCTAATGCTCCCCCGCTGAGGTTAACTTCTCAAATCACTGTCATTACCACCGCTAATTCCCTTAACAATATCACTAGCTAGACAAGGGGGTGGTGGTCTTTCCTAACAGTCAATTAGTTTACATTATCATCAAAGTTTGGTTCATTCATTTCAAAATCAAAATCTAATTAAAGTAGACAGCATTAGCCAGAGCCTCGCTATTATATACATTCAAAACACGAATGTGGAATAAGTCATAACTCAAGATAAAGACGGAAAAATTACCCCAATTACCCACCACACGACCTAAATAACTCTCTCTCTCTCTGTCTGTCTGTCTGTCTGTCTGTCTGTCTGTCTCTCTCTCTCTCTCATTACATCTCAATCCCCTAAAGTGTTACTCAAATTATTCAACAACCTCAGTATAGGGCCGAGACACAGACAGACAGAGAGCACAGTATATAATAATAATAATGTCCCACAGTATTTCCCCAGCGCTACACACCCACACACTGCAATATATATATATACTGTATATGGTTTTGCGACACCCTGTAGTGTAGTGTATGTATGTATGTATGACGGATATATATATGTATGTTTGTATGTATGTATGTATGTATATATGTATGTATGTATGACGGATATATTTATGTAAGCATGTACAGGAAGGCTTCACGAGGCATACCTGGTGTCATCGTCCGGGATATCAGTATTGGTTCCTTAACAATAACAAACCGTACATGACGCAAACTGAACAGTGTACAAGCTTCCATTATGGTGACGTAGCATCATCAACAGAGGGGGCAGGGGAGGGGGGCAGGGGAGGGAGAACAGGGGAGGGAGGGGGCAGGAGAGGAGGGGAGGGAGGGAGCAGGAGGGCAGGGGAGGGAGGGCAGGGAGAGGGAGGGTTGTTTTCTCTTCGGTATACACAGGTATTAGGCCGTTGTGGTGGGGCCTTTCACTTACCACACCTCTTTCATAAGCTGTACACCCTGGCAACCAACAATAGTAAGGCCCCTAATGGAAGATGGTAAATACTGCCCACCCCCCCCACCTCCCTCTCATATCAACTGTTATCATATTAGCTCAAGCTTTAACTATTAAGTGGAGTCTATGTAGAGACCCCGTCAAATAACAGTGTTGTTCCCTCTCCAATCTTCCAGGGGAGGGAAAGGAGGAGGGAAGGAGGGGGGAGGGAAAGGAGGGGAGGGGGGATAATTAAGTACAGTCGAGTGGAAGGATAATGAGCAATTCTTCAAGACTCACAAATAAAAATCAATCAAGAAAATATACAATAAATTACTTTTTTTTTTTAAGTTTCAACACCGACTGACAGACAAATATATATTTTTTTCACCCAGTTAATCCTCTAACTGGTGGGTGATGATGAACATTTTATTCTCAAACCCACCTCTACCCACCCACTAGCCCACCACCACTACCCACCCTGATACACTTTGTCACTCACTGGTTGTGGATGAAACGTGGCATCATAACTAGCGCCTCTTCCTCCCTCCTGTAGGTCAATTATTCCCCCTCCTCCCCCCATCTAGACCAATCAAACCCCACCTCCCCCCCAATCTTAACTACCACCTCTAGAACGTAAGACTATAACATTAAAAACAAAACAGGGTCACATTTCGCAAGTTAAGCCGAGATGGGTAGGGGGCGACAACCTCTGTGTGAGTGCTCAATTCCCTCCGCCACTGCTGCTGCCAACACGTTAGCCTAACATACAGTACAGGCTAGGTTTAAATACTTTTTTCCCCCAGTTTCAGAATGGGTTGAGTCAGGTTTGGTTGAGTCAGGTTTAGTTTGGTTTAATCCATGATCCACCTACTGATGAACTAAGATAACTCAATCACAGACACACAAAAACCACACATTAACGTTATTAAAATCCACATACCATAAAACACGCTTGGTATTGTGTTATATTCGTGACGGAAAAAAAATAGTATACGTTTATTTTATATTTTCCGCGAACTGTTTCAATGGATTCAAGAACAGTTTACAACGCAAAAAAAAAAGTTTGTAGAAAGTTTGTAAAAATAAAAGTAGTACGAGGGAATAGAACAAACTGAACTGTGAATATTGAACCATTTTGTCTAGTGTCCAAGTGATAAGAATAAATTTGGTTTTCTGGGAACTGCTGCGGAGGCTACTGTGGTGAAGGCTACTGTGGTGGAGGAGGAGGAGGGGGGGAGGGGGGCTGTGGTGGAGGACAGTGTGGTAGAGGCGGTACAGTTCCCCCATTACCGCCAGCTAAACAACATACATCCACCACAACACTTTTAGCCACACCACCACCACAAGAGTTTCACATTATGACACGAGAGAGAGAGAGAGAGAGAGAGAGAGAGAGAGAGAGAGAGAGAGAGAGAGAGAGAGAGAGAGAGAGAGAGAGACCACCACTCCACAACCAAATTAGGCTCACACAATCGACCCAAATTTGGCGTCTCCTATAAATGGACATGGCTAGAGAGGAATGATCGGGACGACGACGACGCATTTTACGCACACCCGATCGTAATTGACGCTATCTACGGCGTTTCTGGTCACCGTGGGCCGATGTAGAGACGGGGGACAACCTGTGTGTGGGGGGGAGGGGAGGTACTGGGAAGGACCCGTGGGAAGGATGCACATGAAGAGGGGGTACAGAGGGGGAGGGAAGGGAGGGGGGGGGCGAAGGGAGGGGGTGTCCTTGGGGTACGGGGGGAGGGGAGTTGTGTTACCTGGTGTTAGAGCGTCCACACCACCACCACCACACATACATCACTCAAAACCTTGTTGCGTCACCTGTACC